TCGGACCCGGTGCGTAATCTGGGGGTCCTCCTGGACTCACGACTCCTGCTCGAGGAGCAGGTGGCAGTCATGGCCAGGAGAGCCTTTGCCCATCTTTGTGTGGTACACCAGTTACATACCTTCCTGGATCAGGAGGCTCTCCAGTCAGTCATTCATGCCCTTGTCATCTCTTGGCTATACTACTGCAATGCGTTCTATGGGGCTACTTTTGAAGAGTATCCGGAAGCTAGAGCTGGTTCAAAATGCGGCCACATGGTTAATTTTGAGTGCCCAAGAACGGCGCATATAACACCTTTACTACACAAGCTGCATTAGGTCCCTGTCTGCTTCCAGGTCCAATTCAAAGTGTTGGTTATCACCCTTAAAGCCCTGCATGGCATGGGTCCAGGTTACCTAAGGGACTGTCTTGTGTGTGGATAACAACTCTACCCAATCCTGGGGGTGGCTAGCGCCTCGATGACGCTCCCTGAGTGAGCGCCAATTATTTTGGATCTTTTTATTTTGTATTTGTTGTTGTAATATTATAATTTTAATTGATTTTAATTGTTTTGTAAACCGCCCAGAGTCGTTTAATGAGATGGGCGGTGACAAATTTGATAAATAAATAAATTCCAGCTGTTAACTAGGCTGGGAAAATTGAAAAAAAAAAAAGGGAAAAAGGCATTGGCAAATAACTTCTGTAAAACTATTAAGAAAATTGCATAGATACAGTCACCTAGAATCTAGCACAACTCAACAGTACCTTCAATTAATTTTAGTGGATTAGCATTACAGGGTAAAACAGAATAACAATGAGTGCTTGGAAAGAACTACTTTTTAAATTCCACTTCCATTAATAATTGAAAAGTAATACCTCAGCAGCACTGAAGTGCTCTAGAAGAAGCAACCAGCATATTTCAGGGCAATGCAATAATAGAAAACTGACATTAATGGAAGCAATCAAAAGCAAATATAATGTGGCTTATTCACCAGATGGCATACTAATATGCTAAGTCCTAAAGAAGGATTTACCACAGGCTTTCTTGCAGTATTTATTTATAAAATAACTGATTCATCTAATGGCTTCCTCACTGATACCTAAGGACAACTGACAGTATAAAATATAAAAGTAAAATTGAGATCTAATCCTGCACCATTGACATAAAATGCTTGAGTCAAAATTTCTCAAAGACTTCTATTCCTAAAGATGCTGTGAAAAAATTCCAGAGCAGACCCACCAGGCCATAAAAATTACAGTAAGAGGGAAATTAATAAAACCAAGGGAAACCTAAAATCTGGAGGATCAGAAAAGCAGCCTGGCAGAAAGCAAAACTATGCAATTACGAAAACAGAGTACAATATAATTTAGAACACAAATCATTTGCACAGGAAGGCTAATCTAAAATGTGTTGGGTCTAATAAGTAATCTAATCAAATTTAACAAATGCATGTAGTGTTAGGGCCAGACCTGACAATACTAGAATCCACAGAAATGACATATGAGATGAACAAAATACTTCCAGCCACAAATCTTCACAGCCACAAATGCCTTCAACATCCAAGAGCAAGGTTAGTTCTAGTACCACTTCTAAGTAAATTCTAAGATGTCCTAGAACTGAGTACTACTTACTCAAACGTGTCCCCCCCCCCGCCATTGAATATTTAAGAATGCCTGATAATGTTGGGGAAGCTCAAGGGATACAAAGCACATGATATTTACTAATACAAAATCAGCTAACTTTCTCTCTATCTGCCCAAGAAGCATTTTTTTGTAAAAGGGACTGCTTACAATGATCAAAATAAGTGAAAATCAGCAAAACAGTAACTAACCTGAAGATATTGTTTATCTTTATGATACAGCTCCACAAGCTTTTTACATACTTCACACCATTTCTGTTGATCAGTGCTAAGAAAAAATAAGATTACTTAATTAATTAATTACTTATAGGAAAACATTTAAAGATAATCATTTTTAAAGATAAGTTCTTCTGCATTTTTCTGTCCTATCCTGCTTTCCATTCCTCATCTTATGTATATGAAGGGTGCATCTAGTTTACTGACATCCTTTCTCCATCTTTCTTTGGGCTTCTACCATTTTTTTTCTACCAGTATTAACCATATCATCCTTTTTGATCTTCCTGTCTTTCTCAAGCTAGTACAGACATGGCTTCCCTTCTACTGCTCTCTACTTGGTAATCTTTAATTTTACAACTACCTGGTCCCTGTTCCACCTAACACTGTTTTCTTTCTTCTTCTCCTCAGTCCTTCTGAGTGAGAACATGGCATTTTTAATACTGCTTGGAGGTAGACGAAGGCTTAATATACTGATGGCTGTTAGCTGCCTCTTTACATGGCAATTCTCAGAAAAAAAGTAAAAATGGGGAGAGGAAGTTTTTCCTAACTGAAGGAATACATGACTTACTAACAATCCTTCACCATAGTTTTATTGCTGAAAACATCCATGTTCTTAAAATAATTTTAAAAGAAAAGAGAGATGCATGCAGACCCACAAAACAAGGGTGAAATAATCACATCTAATGAATGGGTGGGAGAAATTTCACACAAAAGGAAAATTTTAAATAAATATGACAGAAGGTTAACAGCTGATAAAAGTTGTGTCAAAGTTAATTTTTTTCACATATCTTTATAAAAACATATTCTTTTTACAAAGTTAAAGATGCTATGTAACAAAATAAGTTATGCTGGGATTAATAACATAATAAGACAGCTAATTGTTACAAAATGCCAAAAAATCTTCAGCTATTTCTTACTTTTCATAGAGTTCTAGCAGTTTCTGGTAAACATTAATCCAATCTTCTCTGACATCTGTATGGTTCCTTTTTTCATACAAATTTGCTAAGCCCTGGGTGAAAGTGAAGAATGTCACTTTTGACGCAAACATTTAATGTGTGATTTGTAGCCCCAAGTTAACTTCAGCTTTAATTCAATTATCAACCTTTAAGGACTATGTCTTTCAACATAACATGAACCTATTTTAATCACAGGAAATGAATTAAAACAATTCATGATGAGAATCAATATATCAAGTTACTCTTTACAAACAAAAGAGTTGATTACAGGTAGTCCTTGGGTTACGATGGCAACTGGGATCAGGACTGCCGTTGCTAAGTGATTGCAGTAGTAAAGCATGATGTCACATGACTGCATCACTTAGCAACGGCAATCCTGGGCAGTCCCAGTTGCCGTTGTAACCCTAAGATGCGCAGACAGTTAAGCAGGAAGAGGCAGGAGTCCCAGGTAAGGAGTAAAGGGGGGTGCATGGGTGCCACAGAGGGTGGGGGAGGCCAGGGGAGAGCCAGCGCAGGCCATGCACAAGTCATGGGAGGGCTAGCGCAGGCTGCGCGTGTGGATGCTGTAGGCAGGAGGAAAAGTGGGAGTGACTTGCAAACTTCCCTGCCAGTTTCCCCATTGACTTTGCTTGTGGGAAGCCGGCAGGGAAGGTCACAAATGGCGAATACCGCGGCTCCCTGCAACATTGTAATTAGAAGCCGGGCACCTGAGTGCCCAGATTGCAATCACATGACTGTGGGAATGCTGCGATGGCCAGAACTTTGAGGACCAGTCATATGTCAATTTTTTCAGCGCTGCTGTAACTTTGAATGGTCACTGAACAAATGGACGTAACCCAAGGATTATCTGTATAACCTTTTAAGGTACTAACTGCCAACTGTTTCTCATGTAACATTAATGAATTGATTTGCCATAGGAATGAAAAACTGTCATTGACCCAAAAGCCAGTGTGTTCCACTGGGCAAAGCCTTGTCTTCTGAGGCTCTACTATCTATTCTGGTGACTGAAGATGAAGAATTTATAAAGCTAAAGCATACAAAGCATCTTAAGTAATAAACGTTGTATTGCACACGTGCAAATGAGCTAATAGCCAAGGAAAAAGGGGGAAAAAGTCCTATTCTGTTACATTCAATCAGGAAGAGTGCTGTAATCCCACATAAGGCCTCTTATCTTTGAGTCCAGCACACTACTGTATTTGCCAACGATCTACAATTTATTCATATAAACACATATATGTCTTCATTCCTATAAACATGTTTATATGGAAAAGGGGACACGGTGGCGCAGCAGCTTAATGATGCTGAAAGTTGCCGGCCAGAAATGGTTGACACTTCAGCGGTTCGAGCCCAGCTCCGCACAGCAGAGTGAGCCCCTGCTTCCTCCCCAGCTCCTGTCAGCCCAGCAGCTCAAAAACTTATGTGAGTAGATAAATGGGTACTCT